CTGAAGAATTCACTTGCGCTCAAAGACTACAAAGAGAAAGACTTGAATACAAAAAGAAATACTGCACTACAACAAAAGATCACCAAAAGTAACAATTCAACTTCTATCATCCACACACCCTTAAGTTTGAATACCCTAAACCCTGTAATCCTCCATCACTGCACCCTATTCATGATCATATGCTTAAATAAATAAATAAATAAAAAAAACTATTACATTGAGTCTGAGATATGAAACCTCCCCCACGTCACGGATTATATGGAGAGAGAGAGAAGTCAGCAAGATGGAGGTTTCACTGTATACATTTCTCTGCCTTGAGTGTTTAAGTTGCTCTAAAACAATTCTAATCTGACAAAAACATTAAAAGGAAAGATGCTAAGATAACATGCAAAAATACTCCAAATATACTTGTTCAAATACTCAATTTACATAATGAATTCTTAATCTCTTTCTCACCAAAAAATAAATAAATAAAAAACTTGTTGCTGGCTGCCCAATTTCTCAGAAAGAACAGGAAATGTTAAATTCTAGTGTGGAATGCGACCATTTCCTCCATCAGACCACCACACTAACCTACTCAAGTTATCCCCTTAAATTTTCAGTTTTCTTTGATGTGATAAACTTACAATTAGCCAAACATATCAGTCTTTATCTTCCTTGTCTAAATAAAATAAGTAAGAATTTCACACAACTTGTTTTCTCACCAACAGTACTTATGAGTGAGAGTTGTATTTCTCACTCCTTTAATTTCATATTCCTTCATAAACAGCTAAATATTTCTCATTTTTAAGACTAACTTATTCAGATGCAAGTCAAATAGGACCTAATCTACTAGAATTAGAACCCATTAGGACTAACACCCAACCCTGAAGATAAGATTGGAACCTATAAGGAGTAACACCCAATCCTAAAGATAAGATTCGAGATTGTTCAATACAGTATTTATAGATGAGGGTACATTTTGCCTTGTCACTTTACAATCTTTTCTATTTTCCCTCACTTCCTTCTCCCACTAAATAGACAGATGATTTTTCCAGACCTTCATATTTATTTCCAGCATACAGTAACAGCCTCAATCTGCTCAGAGAATACGTGGGGATAGAAACTAAGTCTCCGTAGGATTGTGTAGTGTCTTGTCATCAGAGCTATTTATTGTCCTCAAGGATGGGGTAGCAAGAGAGGTGAAGGTAAGAATAAAGGAGAGGGGGGAGGGGGGCCATCCCATACACACACACACTTCCCAAGTAAACACACACACACACTTCCCAAGTAAACACACACACACACACACTTCCCAAGCAAACAAACACAAACATATATTTCCCACGCACACATTTCCTCATCTTTAATCTTTAGTTAGCAAAAACCCCTGTATAAAATTCATCAGCATAAGGCCTAAGAATTACCTAGCATCATATACAGTATGTTCGCTTATCAAATACTCTGATATGAAGCACAAGAAACGACGCACACATGACAATTCTCATTAATTAAGCGTGAGTTTTCTCGAAGAAGTTGTCATTCTATCTATTTATTCCATTTACCCATAACCTCTCATTTATCGGGTGGGGCAGTGACAAAGTACAGCAATACTAAAACCTTAAAAATGAAGTTACATTTACATTGTACAGTGTAACCTTTATTTAATGGACAATACGGGGAGGGAAGGCCATTATATCAAAGAGTCCATTAAGTGTGAAATATCCATCCAATAAACGTTATAAGAGATGACAGTCAGTTATATTGAGGATCCATTAGATGCGACCCCCCCCCAAATCTAATGGATTATATGGAGAGAGTATTAACACATGCTGTCGGTCATAAGGTACAAGCAACACCAACCATTACAAGGTGTTATCAGAAGCAAGGAATTATATATACAGTATTATTATTATTACTTATTGTCTACAGTAATTCTTCCAACTGACTTCAACATCATCTCGACCCTTGTAACATGTCTAGTGCTTTTCTATCTCCTCCATTATACTTTCTTGTACATGCTACCTCTCACCACTGCATTAACACATTTTCACTACGGGGATACCACCTTTAACATTTTATTTGGCTAAAGGAAGGCAATTTATTCAGCTCAGAAGGGAACCCACACACAAGGAGTTATTCATTCATGTCTGAGGTAAATACTAAAGTTTCTTTTCCTAACAAACACTTAACAAATCTTCAAAGAATAATATCAGACAAAATTCTAATACCCAACAACGAGGAGGAATGGTTACTCAACTTACCAAGCTTCAAAAATTTCATATAACCCAATCAGAAACGTGACTCCAGCTATCACGAGAAGTAAACTCTCCATGGCACCACAATATAACCGTGTCAACTTAATATTCAGATAGTGTCCGACGAGGCACGACACTGGTATCCTTTGAGCACACTATTAATCCACGGCTCGAGTAATGCATCAACACACACTGGGGATGGTTCATGTTCTAGATACCCGAGGCTATGGTGGTATGTAGATAAAACTTACTCTCATTTTTCTATACGAACCTCAATTCATCTGATAAGCTGATAAGTTCTTCTGTTTGGCAGTTACTGCCGATAAGAGAGATAAGTAAACGATGATTTTTTAAGAGTACTTATGTTTATAAATACTATCTCCTGTTACTGCCACTCCTCTCACTTTTATGCTGAATGAAGGGACACAGTAACCTCAGAGATAAAGGAGAGGACGAGAAGTAGCAACAGAACAGACCAGAATAAAGTAAAAAGTCTCCACATATATTTCCTTATCTTCTCAACTTGCACACAAAGTGTAAAAACTGAATCCCTAATCTGTAAAACCAATTGGTAGGATTGTTACTAAGGAGCCCAAAAATATTAGTTCCACAACCAAGAAACCCGAGATATATATAAACCACGACAAAACTTAAAAATAACCTCAACCAGGTGCTGTATAAAGACCAGGGGAATATCAGTACCTACTTCACCTTCTACCACAAAAGAATAGAATAAGAAGTTGAAGATGATTTTCAGTTCAATGATCTTTTTTTATGTTTTAAAGTACAGTATAACTAAGAGTCTTCAAGCAATTGTCTGTAGTAATCTTAGATTTGAGCCATACAAAAGAGATTTTTATCATGTCTTAATGACTGGCTAGTGTTGGATCCTCATGAAGACATTCTGACTCAGATGTGGAGTCTTCTTTCCTAGACAGGTTTCTTGATGAACAGAGAGATGTTTAGGCTTTCTACAGGTCAAGATGGAACTCTAGGGTAGAGCACGTAGGTACAATTAATGGGAAGGTTACTTCTTTGCATGACAAACTCTCCTTGATCCACTTCTGAAGGGAAAAGATGATCAGTAACATATTTTTTAAAACTCAGGTGGTGTAACTAAGCCACCACTTCTTAAAAGCTGATGGCAATCTCTGAAAGCTGGGTGCCTTGAAAAGGCAGAGGAACAAGGAATATTCAGTTTGTTGCCCATTGTTCTTTGGTTGGTTCTTCAAATATGTTGGGCCTCGTCTGGGAATTTCTTTCATTATCAGGGACTTGACACAATGAAGAAGTGGGGTCATTACAGATTTTCAACAACACTTCAATATGAATAAAACTTTTGGTTCCTTTCTTTTCCACAAGAGGAGGTCATCTAGATCTGTTTCCTTGTGGGATATTTTTAAAGACATGTTTTGTGTGGTGTTTTAACTTCTCTCTTTCATCACTTCAATGAGTAATACTTCAACATTAAAACTCTGAGCAGATCCAATGTCTAGAGGTAACGTGTTACCATCTCAAGTGATATAATAAGATGATGTGCGCTTATACTAGAGTCATTCTCACTCAGTTAATACTTTTGGAGACGTGTTGACAATGGTATGTAGAGTAACAGTTAACTTCCGGTCTTTGTTTCAACCACCCCTTAAGTTATACCAGTGGAATGGATGTTTTCTCCGTGGATCGGGACATATTTATCTTTCATTTCCTTTCATTGGTCGAGCAAGATTACATTTCCTCTTGTATTTGAACTTGGGATGAAGAGTTACCAGCCAGAGTTATATTAAATGATGAGTCCTGTTATTGGAATCAGTCTCTCTCTCTACAGTATAAGTATAATATAATAAGTTTCACCTTTATAGCAACACCCCAAACTGTGTTAACATCCTTATCATTTGAGTGTTGTCAGTTCATCCTCATATTATAAATACCAGTGTTTCAGTATCACTCTTAAACATCAGGTCCTCGCTGCTCGAAACAATGTCAAAATAAAAGAGTAAATTGTGTTTACAAATCCTAAACTCCCCTCCTCCTTCTGCCACAAGAGCTTTTGGTTAGGCTCAACAAACTTCTATGAGAAACCCCTTTTAACATCATTTAACACTGAAAATTTCCCACAAATCAACAAGCAGTTATAACAAATCTAATTTTTATATAATATTTCGACCTTCCCCATAATACTTAAAAATCTAATTGTGACTACTTAATAGCTGGTGAACGCTGCTTTTCGTTTCAAACTGTTTGAATAACACTAAACAAACACTACAATATAATGCGTAAGAAAAATCTAAGTATAAACCGAAGTTAACCCCCTCACTCTTGGACGTCACTTTTAATATTCTACTTGCCTAATGTCAGACATTTTCATTCAGCAGAGAAAGGACCCCATACACAAGTGGTCAAGACATTCATTCATTCCACCACTAAACATTCTCAATTTATGGTACAGTTAATACAGCTACAAATCACATGTGTCAATAGATATATCCTCATCAAATTAATCTACTGTAAGGTCTTTATGACATTTCAAAGTCACAATTTGACTCCCCGAAAAAATGGCATTAAAACATTAAGATCAGGAGACAAGAATATACTGCATTTACCGAGTTAATTTCTAAAAGCATAAAAATGTACGAATGACAAGAAATTTTCAGATTTGTTATTGATATTCCATTTTTTTAAACTTATCTTAGAAACATTAAACTCTGACTGGTAAGAAATATAAGCACCATATATATTACCAATAAATAAATAAATAAATCTTACCGAGAATTACTAGTACTGGAGGAGAGGGATGATGGTGTCTTTCTTGATCTGGAGTTAATGATCACTGATGACTTTTTGGCATTAGATGAAGAGGCTACAGACTTGGCTGGTGCCGAGGTCTTTCTTCTGACGGATACAGTACTGGGAAGGTTGTCAAGACTCCCACCTAGAACACTGGAGACAAACAAACACATTAGTAATATATATATACCCATGCCTTACAGAGATACTGTACTGTATTATACTGCAAAATACATCTAGTGGTTCGCTAAATCAGAGGAGGGAAACTGAAGACAATCCCCCCATCACGTCTCCCACACACAGAGGAAATAAGACATCTAGCAAAGCCCAAAACTAAGACATCTAGCAAAGCCCAAAACTAAGACATCTAGCAAAGGCCAAAACTAAGACATCTAGCAAAGCCCAAAACTAAGACATCTAGTAAAGGCCAAAACTAAGACATCTAGTAAAGCCCAAAACTACGACATCTAGCAAAGGCCAAAACTAAGACATCTAGCAAAGGCCAAAACTAAGACATCTAGTAAAGGCCAAAACTAAGACATCTAGTAAAGCCCAAAACTACGACATCTAGCAAAGGCCAAAACTAAGACATCTAGCAAAGGCCAAAACTAAGACATCTAGCAAACAAAACTAAGACATCTAGCAAAGGCCAAACTAAGACATCAAAACTAAGACATCTAGCAAAGCCCAAAACTAAGACATCTAGCAAAGCCCAAAACTAAGACATCTAGCAAAGCCAAAACTAAGACATCTAGCAAAGCCAAAACTAAGACATCTAGCAAAGGCCAAAACTAAGACATCTAGCAAAGCCAAAACTAAGACATCTAGCAAAGGCCAAAACTAAGACATCTAGCAAAGCCCAAAACTAAGACATCTAGCAAAGCCTAAAACTAAGACATCTAGCAAAGCCCAAAACTAAGACATCTAGCAAAGGCCAAAACTAAGACATCTAGCAAAGCCCAAGAAACTAAGACATCTAGCAAAGCCCAAAACTAAGCCTAAAACTAAGACATTAGCAAAGCCCAAAACTAAGACATCTAGCAAAGTAGCAAAGCCCAAAACTAAGACATCTAGCAAAGCCCAAAACTAAGACATCTAGCAAAGCCCAAAACTAAGACATCTAGCAAAGCCCAAAACTAAGACATCTAAAACTAAGACATCTAGCAAAGCCAAAACTAAGACATCTAGCAAAGGCCAAAACTAAGACATCTAGCAAAGCCCAAAACTAAGACATCTAGCAAAGCCCAAAACTAAGACATCTAGCAAAGCCCAAAACTAAGACATCTAGCAAAGCCCAAAACTAAGACATCTAGCAAAGGCCAAAACTAAGACATCTAGCAAAGGCCAAAACTAAGACATCTAGCAAAGCCCAAAACTAAGACATCTAGCAAAGACCTAAAACTAAGACATCTAGCAAAGCCTAAAACTAAGACATCTAGCAAAGCCTAAAACTAAGACATCTAGCAAAGCCCAAAACTAAGACATCTAGCAAAGCCTAAAACTAAGACATCTAGCACAAGCCCAAAACTAAGACATCTAGAAAGCCTAAAACTAAGACATCTAGCAAAGCCCAAAACTAAGACATCTAGCAAAGCCCAAAACTAAGACATCTAGCAAAGGCCAAACTAAGACATCTAGCAAAGCCCAAAACTAAGACATCTAGCAAAGCCAAAACTAAGACATCTAGCAAAGCCCAAACATCTACGACATCTAGCAAAGCCCAAACTAAGACATCTAGCAAAGCCCAAAACTAAGACATCTAGCAAAGGCCAAAACTAAGACATCTAGCAAAGCCCAAAACTAAGACATCTAGCAAAGCCAAAACTAAGACATCTAGCAAAGCCCAAAACTAAGACATCTAGCAAAGCCTAAAACTAAGACATCTAGCAAAGCCCAAAACTAAGACATCTAGCAAAGCCCAAAACTACGACATCTAGCAAAGCCCAAAACTAAGACATCTAGCAAAGGCCAAAACTATGACATCTAGCAAAGCCCAAAACTAAGACATCTAGCAAAGCCCAAAACTAAGACATCTAGCAAAGCCCAAAACTAAGACATCTAGCAAAGCCCAAAACTACGACATCTAGCAAAGCCCAAAACTACGACATCTAGTAAAGTCTAAAACTACACTAATCAACACAGCTCAGACTCAATGAGGCATATAATGATCCATCACCACAGGGTAATTCACAAGTGATATATTCCTAACACAGTGAACATGCCACACGATGTTGCATAGTAAGGTCTTAGCTAACCCATTATTATGCTTAACGTGAGCTGCTTCAAAACACAGGTTATACCCATGTTGACATATCAGGTGATGGGGATGGCCTAGACTTGGTAATCACATCAGAGGGAATGAGTAATTGGAGGAGCATCTCAGGTAAAGGAAATAACAGATGGACTCAAAAGTTTACTGAAGTACAAGTAAAACTGATCTCACTGAATAGGTTAAACTTATCCAGATCTGTTTGTAGGTTCCCTGTAGATTATGTAGATCACACACATGCACATTATAATCCCCAGTTAAAAGGAACAGAGAATATTAAAAGCAGATCCACTGAAATCCCATGTAGAGTACAGTACAATAGTTTCAACTACCAAGTGTTGGGAGAGCTAGTATAGGCTATCATAAGATTAGCACCCCCCCACCCCCCACCTGCAGGTTATATGCTGGCTTGACTAATATAAACAAAGGTAAGATAAAAATCAAATAGGCTAAACAACTGTGGGAAACATGAGGGAGAAAACAGAAAGTTTAAAATATGATGAAAATACAAAATGGAAGAAAAAGAAACAATACCCAATGACTACACCAATGAGACAGGAAATGGTGCCAAAGATAAGCTAATGTGTATAGTACTGAACATCCTAGCATGAACATGATGTGAACTTCAAAAATGTTCACACAGAGAACACCCAAATCAATATTACACAATGCAACAACACACGACAACTTCGATGACAATATCCCCCCTTATTTCTCTCTTTCAAGCCTTTTCTCACTACCGTACTGCTCAATGTTGCCACACACACACACACACCTCCTCCTCCATACTTACTTGGGACACTTAATTCCTTGTCATTAAGGAGTTTAAACATAGACTACCCCTAGTTATACATACACTTATCTTAATCCATAAATCATATACATAGACTATTTATACTGTACTGCAAAGCCCAAATTACTATTAAATGATAATAAATAATTAATAAGGAAAGGAAGTAAAGGACAAAAAAGAAGGGACAATGAAAGAGAAGGAAAAATGCACAGCACAATACATGGAAGAATACTATTTATATTAATACCTAATTCTAATAATTATTACTTTAATCAAATATCTTCATACCTGATCAGTTTACCAGGAGCTGAGGCTTTTCGCGGAGATGCGTTGACAGCAGTGTTGACTCTCGTTGGTCTTGAAGAATTGCTTCGAAGTGACCGAACAGGTTGGACCGACGAGACAGGAATAATGGGGCCACGTAACGACTTTGTGCCCGGACTTTTGGAAGTGTGGACCTGACTGACAGAGGTACCAAATCCACCACTGGTACTACTGCTCCCTCCTCCCCTGTGAAACCATTACACAGTTAGAATATATTCCAGGGTTACCAGACAGTACTTCTGCTAAAGTTGAGACATTCTTTACTTAGTTTTAAGTGGCCATTTCCTGCCTGAAGCAGTTACCAATGTATATCACTTTCCTAGATTATTATCATATACTTCTTTTCACACTAACCCAATGTTGTACTAACAAAAAAAGTCCTTATTATTCATGCTAATTTTAAGATGCAGAAAAGCTCCTAAACTCTAAAGAACTTTCTAAAATCTAAATGAAACTCTTTTTCACATAATCAACCAAAGCCAAACCACAATTAGTAGTATCAAATAAATCTAACTCTTCCAACTTAACTCTGAATTCTACTCATCTTCTCACTCAAAATAATCTCCCTTAATATCTTTCCAAAATCTCATAAATTAGTCAGTTTTCTGTTCCCATCTGTCATCTGGGTTACATTTTAAACCCACGTTCACTCCATTTCCTCTCAGCAACTCCCATTTCCTCTAAAGTGACGTAGAAATCTCCCCAGTCCTATGATTCACCTGACCTGTGTAACTGTACACGTAACCACAGCCTTAATGCATAAAACCATCCCACCACCACCTTACCCAATATATTAATTACTCTTTTGACCATTATTCCCTGTATGATTACAGTTAAAGCTTAAAATAATAGCAGCCATAGAGACAGAAAATCTCCCCGAGCATAGTTGAGCACCTCCTCCTCCCAACTATACAGCTGCCGAAAGTACGACACCAGTATTGCATTCAATCACCCCTAAATTTTAAGAACCGATTGTTTAAAAACTATTGGATCTGCATTTTTTTTTTAACTTCTACTGTTAGGAATTACAATTGAGGTGCAAACACATGTACAGAGGGTGACAAAAAATCTATCTATCCATCTCCCATCTACAAACTGCACTTTCTCTTTTACTAATCTCTCAGACAACCTTCCCCTGACTATCTAAGACTGAAAAGCAAAATCTTAAGTATTTGTTCCCTTGTATAAACCTTTACCAATTATAATTCACTGTGGCTGCAATTAAAAGCAAAGCCAGATTCTAATTTGATTTAGTCACCCATCTTCTCAAATTACCATACTGTTGTGTTCTGCTATGGAAGTTTCCTTACATTACATGACCCCAAGATCCACCTGGTTCATCAACATAACTTCAACAGTCCATCACCTCATCCATCTCAAACATCAACTGAAGCTTAAAGTTTACAATAGCAAACAAAAGCCCCGTCGTCACCTCACCTGCCGCTCAACGAACCCTGAGATTCAGACTCGTGAATCTGAAGCCTTTATGGACAGAATAATGCATCAATATCGACTGCTTTGGGTTCATGAGTCTGAATTTCAGGGTTCGTGGAGCAGTAGGGCAGGAATTTCATTCATGACTGTACATCACTGTTTCTTGGATAGCCGTGTCCCTCTCCCTACTGCTGCCTCCCAGACCTAATCCATCCAGCTCTTTGGTCTGTCCCCTCAAGCTCCAACTGTCCATTTGGCCATGAAGCATACATTATGTTTATCAACCTTTCCATTACTAATCTCTCAGTACACATTCATTTCACCCTGTTCGGTTCTCTATCCATCATCCCCCTTCTCATTATTACCTGTGAAATCTTTAGTATACAAAAACCAATTAAAAAATAATTTAACCAAACAAAATTATTATAAATTCGATATACAACACCAAGTTATAAAAAATATAGTACTGCATCTTCCTTGAAACCTATAAATGCACTAATTTATATTATACTACATTACTCTTAGACAAACTAACACACACCCAGTGTTTCCAATGTTATCACTCTATGGGGTAATTCACCACTATAACTCGCCTAATCATGACTGCCTCCCCAAAATGCAGAACAGTATAATGTTTCAGATATAAAAAATATGTTGACTCCAATCTGATGTCCAACTACAGTAATTATAGACTATGATTCAATAAAACATTACCTATTTCTTCACCTAAATCCTAACACAAAAAGAGAATATCATGGATATTATACCCCATCACCTCGGATTTGGATTATATTCAAACACAAGCCAATGATAATATGTATGAATTTGTGATGTATCCCCTGAAGAGCAAACACCAAGTGAGGCTGTCAGAGAAAACTTTACAATATGAGGAGGAACTTGTATAAATCTACTGAGGAACCTTTACGGACACTTTTCGTATCAGTTATGTAAAAAATGACATACAGATATTAAAAAATGCATAATTGACCCCAAAATCCTTCTTTATGACATAACTCACATACAGACAGCTTGGGTAACCTTGAGTAACATTTACAGACAGTTTTCACATCAGTAATGTTAAAACAGACATAGACACACACAAAAAATGCATAATTCACCCCAAAATCCTCCTTTTTGACATAGCCCACATACAGACACACCTGGGAAATAAAGAACTACTTACTAGGTGGATCTATATGCCAAGGTAGGTAATGTAACCTCTATGAATATACCAATTGTCATTCCCTCCCCTATCATGGCATCAACAAAGTTTACTTTATGGTAGGTCATCTGAGGATGTAAGAACCCTACCAAGTATCCCTGTGTTATAAGAGCCAGTTGACTTTAAGGTATAAGCCAGGAAAATACAAAAATAGTGTCAAATCTTTTTATCATTCTAAATCCCCGGTACGACAGACACACCCAGGGTTAAAAGTTCGCTCTCTCCCAAAATGAAGCAGCATTGACCCTAAATAACATTAAACAGCACACCGAAACAAAATGACGGTCGACGGTCAGGTTAAGTTAAAATGACAGTCAGGATAAGTTAAAATGACAGTCAGGATAAGTTAAAATGACAGTCAGGATAAGTTAAAATAACAGTCAGGATAAGTTAAAATGACAGTCAGGATAAGTTAAAATGACAGTCAGGATAAGTTAAAATAACAGTCGAGGTAAGCAATTTTAGAGACTCATTTCCGTGACACAGTTTCACCACGGGAAGCAAACCTTTGTCCATGACTGTCCAAAAATAATTATCTGTTATGCTTTTCCACCCAAAATAGCCAAAACTTTAAACAAGACCATAAGTCATATGTAGAGCTGTGTAGTGTAAATATACCTACCTGTACCTGCATACCTGTATCAATCAATTAAGACCTTTTCAATCTACCACAGCATTTAAGATGAAGATCCACATAGAATTAAACCCTTCAACTCTTTCTTACCCCACCAAGCACTTAAAATTTTACCTTCTTGCTATACTAAACTGCCTAAGAAAACTGTACAGTACATCACCTAGCAACACAATTTACGAATGACACAACAATTGATAACATTACGGTAATCAATGAAGAATTAAAAATCAGTAATAAAATCAACTGAAAATACTGTAGTAGCATATTAGGCCAAAGAGTTGAAATCACAATGAATGTTCAGTAAATCCTCTCTAAAATACTTAAATAAAGCTATATAAGGCATGTACAGGGGTAAGGCTCAAAGAGGGAGTGAAATGGCATGGTGTCAAGGGTTCACAGTTAACCAATAAACAAACAAGATGACCTAGAATGACCCCGAGAGGAGACATGACTAGATAAGGATCATCATTAACTTTGGTCAGGTTAACAATGCTTCTATTATCAGATAAATACACTGTAGCTACAGCTTTTTTTTTCCCCAGGAACTAATTGAATCATCCAAGACATCACTTAAATTGGTCACATTGGCTGTCCTTGCATCCTAATTACTGTAAGTTATTATAAGCTAATAATAATAGCATTCCACAGGTGTTTTGAAAGTATAGTTCTACCCTATACAGTAATTACAAACTCCATAAAGTATGAAATATGAATAATAAAATAATTAAAATAAAATATAAATAAGTGGGTTAAAACAGCAGTTAATTAACAAAGATCAAGAGTACCCTAAATACAGTACCTGGGAGTGAGTATTAAAGGTGTGCGTGAATTCATGGTGGGGGAGCGACGGCAGCGCTGAGAGAGAGGCGACAGCGCCCGTAGGCGGTCCAAATCTCGGTGTGGGGCCTGAAAGTAAAGAACTTGTTTTAGAAATTCACACATCAGCTTACAAACACATCTGCAATTATATTGAAGAAGTAAATTATATTTTTCAAACCAACTTTCCAAAATACAACATAAAGTTATAAACAGTAGTACAGTAAATAAATCTGTTTCAATTCATTCATCACACAATAACACTGAAATTGTATACAGTAGCTACAATAGTTACTTTACAGGGCTACATCTTATCTCAACCTATCTAGAATTTGCATTTACTTTAAACCCCGCCAATCACCTGGATGTATAGTGACTGCATATCCTAAATAGTTTTCTAAGAAGACTACAACTAAATGTTTTAACCGTTAGATTAATAACAGATTAAGTTGACTCATAAAAATTATTCGTAATTGAATACAACAACTTTAAAGAGAACTTAGTACCAGATTGACCTTGTTACACCGGGTTTTTAAAAACCTTTATCTCATGTCTGTGGTTATAATCCTGTGGTAGTGTATAGTAATGCAATTCTCAATTAATGACTGGGGATCTATGGCTAACAGGAAGTCATCCATCTGGTACAATGACATTTTAAGGCTATCATTATCATTTTACAGTCCTTGTCCACACTGCAAGGATTAGCCACACAAGGTAACAGGATCAGGCACCATTCAATTCTGAAAGCCCTGGAAAAGTACGGTAATTTCCTCCACAGAAGATGTGTAGAAAAAATATCAATTGCCAAAACAAATGTAAGTGCTAAGATAAGACCTTGTCCGACAGCCTCCTCATCATTATCTTTTACTGTCTTGCCATTTTCCACACCTGCGTGAGTTAGCGGTGAGTACCCGATGCCCCGGATGCCATATTGCAACTTTGAAGCAAGTTTTACAACTGAATGCCCTCCCTATTGCCAACTGAGCATTATATGTAGGACTTCCAAGTGCTTTCTTCGCTGGCAAGGTAGGTTAGCTAGTCCTTGAATAATTAAAAATTGCCCACCTTCATAAAAATTATGTAGATTGCATGGTCATACACCACAGCTATTCAGTGTAAGACCTTGCGGTGCTACTATAGTGTGCGGTCTACAAAGATATCTATAGTCTAATCTAATTATCTGGTAGACGTACAATATAGTAGCAGCGACCTTGCAACCTAACCTAATATATAGCACTAAAGTAAAGTGAAATCATGTCTCTAAGGCCATTTTAGGGGAAAGGTCTGTTAAAATGATTTTCCTTTAACCCAAACTTTTTTATTAGGGATACCTAGATATGCAAACACCCCTTTAGAAAGGCTGTAGAGTATTAATAAAAAGTGGAATTCCTATAGTTACAATCATCCTATATGTCAGGCATTAATGAATTACTCAGATATTAAAAGAATTAAACCTGGTCTGGCAGAGTTTACTTTGGTGAAAGCTTAACATCATCATTATTGCATTATTAAACAAACAACATACTTCTCTCTACTCTTTCTTTAGAGTAGTGAAAAATACTTTATCAACAAGTGTACTGTAATGACCACAATGATGGCATGCCCTGCTAAACACACTGACTTTTATAAATATTTACATTCTATTACATGAGACCCCTAATAATGCAACATGTAGACACAAACATTAAGAAACCACAATTCCAAGTACAATTGCTTGGCTTTCTATATAATCAACCCATCAATGCATAATTACAAAGTACATTACAGTAATATAATCTGATTTTCCTATTACTTTAAGGATTTTCATTTATTACAGGTAACAGCATATCTTCTTGTAGCAGCATTACTGTATTTAGCTGTTAATGCTGTACTGTATAACACCATCAATTGTCCAAACTTTTCTGGGGGCTTTAAATACTTTACCAAGACACTAGTGATAAAACTATTTACTTTCTTCACTGTATTTTGTTTTCGTCAAAGTTGAATTTTTATGAGAGGATGTTAAATAATTATTAATTCAACATATTCTTCCCGTGTACATTTAATGGTGCAATATTTGATAAAGTGCCACAATTAATGACAAACTCTACGAGACACAGGAGGGTATAGGGTACACTGGCGTCACCAGGGGTCATATTTCTCACTATTCTCAACATACAACACATATTTACAACCAATTATAACTGGAATAAACTTGTCATGTCCTGTCATTGCTGTGTGAGGTGAACATAGTGGGGTTCATTGGCCAGGTGTGAGAAACGTTAGGAACAATTAATAAAGCATGGGTGAACCCAGGCCATGGTGGGCCAGGCTACACACTGCACCTTATCTCTCGTGTCCACCTTCTACCACATGACCTAACACCCTCCACTATCGCGGCGGCGTCTTGGCGTTATCACTGGCGAGTTTAAATATCTTATTCAAGTTCAAGGACGACATTATTAGTGAAAAACTCACCCGTGGAGGGCCCATCCTCCTTTCACTTTCCAGGGGATAATTTAAACTTAGTTCTGTGACGCGCCAACAGATGGCGCTGGGCCTCACTCAGCTGATACTTGACTGTTGTCAACCCAGATGTTGGCAGGCGAATTATACCAGTCCCCCCTACCCAACACTAATATATGCCACCTAAACCATTAAACAACAATATATTAACAAAATATATATGAATATATTGCATTTTAAGTTTACTTTAGACATTGAAAAGAAATGCTAGGTGTAATTGCATATACTGTTAGTAATTTACGAATAAAAATTAACCCAGCTGAGATTCCACCACAAAATACTGTCAGCAAAGACAAACAAGCGGTGGTGTTGGCCGTTACTAGTTAATAACGCTTACCACTGTGTATTATTAAGTAATATGCTTTAAACACATCAACGGTTCATATTCACTTTTAACAGTATACTAAAACAATACATCTCCAACAATCTAATGTAATCTTTTATGTAGGTAGAGTTACTAATTTATCATATGTAAGTACAGTAGACCGTGTATTGGCTAACAAGTTATCACATGCATCCGGAGGCGCGTGTTGCAATGTCAGGGAAGTTGCACAAACATAATCATATTTATGCATGAGTAAGCGACTATCACCCACTGCAATTACCACATGTTTAAGTAATCAATAATACTAATACCAAACCAGAACATAATCAACAATAACACCAAACTGAAACAACAACATAATCCTTAGTGTAAAACAAGCAACTTTAATTTCATCTCCGTGTGTTGCATCCTGGACACGGAATTAAACACCATCAACAAAATTGATTATATAACGTTAAATAATAATTCGTTTAGATGCGATAAACTAAGGCTGAATTTCGTTACAATGATCAATCAATAGAACAGTACAACCCGGCATCAGCACAGCGGCCGGGGCGAGGGTTTTTTATGCATAGCTGTGCACTTGCCGTCTGTTGCAATGCACTACCGAGATTCTCAAACACTCTTTACCATGAATTATTCCTCTTAAGTCATCATACCGGTTATTACACTCACTTGACTTAACCGAAATAACTAAATCAACGTCCAGAAATAGCAACGAATTTAACCCAAGGAATCTTTTCGCTAGATACGTTATTTTGAGAATATATTTAACGTGTATTGATCTTTCATATAGTATCTTACGTTAATTTTCTGATGTTAAAGTGAACGTATCTAATTAAGGTAAATTCTTGTGTGTACTGAGAATTTCGACTCGTATGTGTGGATAAGAATGTGATACGGTTTGAGTAAAATGATGTGTGTGTGTGTGTGTGTGTGTTGTGTGTGTGTGTATGTGTTTGTCACGGTAAAATAGCCTGTATACATGAGAGCTTATTACCAAACAAATTCGCTGAAAATCACAAACTCGTCAACAACGATAGAATTACCCGCCCCAAAAAATCTCCATTCATCCATTCATGCGCGAAATCCAATATCCGGATTAACGAATGCATTGAATTACCCCCTAACCAAAGACGTGAGAACATATCTAATTGATTCACTTTTACGCTACGACACAAAAGATTGATTCTCCAGAAGGTTCGTGACCGTCTTTAGAATTCCACTTAAATTGCAGCACACTTAGGTCTGATACTTCCGCCCTGTTATTGGATTCTACAAGACTCTTAAGAGAAACGGCAACTATGTGTAATTTTGGCGTCAATTTGCCCGCCATCTTAGTACAGTAGCTAATCGTACTCAAGGGGTTAAGTCATCGTACTCAAGGGGTTAAGTCATCGTACTCAAGGGGTTAAGTCATCGTACACAAGGTGGTTAAGATATCGTACTCAAAGGATAGATACGGATAGAGGTAGATAGATATAGGGATATATAAATAGGTAGGTAGATAGATAAGTCCATTCCACTTAATATCTATTTCAGCCAGCGCCGGATTCAGACCTGTGGAGGCCCATGGGCAGCCTCTTTGTGGAGGCCCCCCTCATTATAACTACCCAAGAGGGTGGGGTGGCGAGTGAAGCAAGCCTAAACATCTGGGAGATCCGGGGGGCGCTGTGAGCCCCCCGGGAAAATTTTGAACACTTCTTTGGAGAATTTTGAAGCCATATGCAGTTACATTGAGGAAATTAGAACATTGAAATTTTTTTAATTAACTGTATATTTAGTGATAGTGTACAAATTCCCAACACACACACACACAAAAGTGAGACATGACTGTAGTCATTCATGTGGTTTCAAGTCGACCAGCCCCTGATATAGCTACTACCGGACATGTGGAGGCCCCTGGGTAGTTGCCCACTTTGCCCACTCCTGAATCCGGCCCTGATTTCAGCATCAACAGCGGGGAGAGAGGTGGAGGTGGTCACGGTCACAATAGTGTCACGGGAACTGAGTATCGAGGTCTAACTTGCTCCCACACAACCCCGGCCACGCGCCCACCTTAACATTAGCGGTCAATGTTAAGCAAAGTACCACGGACGGTATCTCGAACGTAATACTTTTTCATCTACCCTAACACGAACGCATCTACCCTGACAAGAACACATTAAATAGGTCCAATTAAGCTAAGACAGAGCGCTGGGAGCTTAAATAAGAAGTTCAATTTACTCTTTAAATTCAACCGTGACTGCTGGTGTTCTCA